CCCAGCAGCCAGCCGACTAGCCAGGTTAGATGCTAGGCAGATGCAGAAGGCTCCTGTGGTGAAGAAATCCTTTCCCTCAAGCCACAGAGTGGCTACAAAACCTGGTCTAGTTTATTGGCTGAAGTAGGCTCTGCAGCCTCATCCCCCATGGAACGGAAGACAAGAGGACCAAGTAGCAATGGAACCCCAAACCCTGCCTCTCCCCCAGAACACCCATAGCCTAGCCTTTCCTTCCCCACACATGCCGCACTGCAGAAGGTCCAAATGGATTTTTACACTATGCAGGGGATAGATATTTCTTTTCACCTGCAGGACATTCCACATACAGCCCATCCCATTTCATAGTCAGAGAAGCAGAACCTGAATTGTAATCTGTTTGTAGTATTTCTTATCTAGATAGTTAGGAATCCTTTGAAAGTTATTCTAACAAGTTAGCCATTTCCTTTGCAGTCAAGAACTAAGGATTGTTTTAAATAGTTGTTGATGGTGTGTGTATAAACTTTTGGTAACAAAGCATTCACAAATCCTCAAATATGACTGTAAATCATATCATACAATCTAGCAAAAAGACAGTTGAATTTGAACAGATTCTAAATGACATGACCTTATTACTGCCATAGAAGTTCCAATTATCATATCACAAAAGACTTTCACAGACATCTTTGATAGAGGAAGTAACTTCCCCCTCTTCACCATGGCAGCCCTAATAAAAAGATTGTCCTTTACAAAATTGTCTTTAAAAGTCCACTGTATAGGGCAAAAATGTATGTTATGCATTTTGTTTGCCAAACTGTGATGTCTTTACTTGTTAATTTTTCTTTGCACTATGTAGAAATATTTCAACAGCACTACATTTCTATGCATTCCAGATGGTCCCTAAGGCAGGATTTAATCCTGATATCACAGATGCACAATAATGAAAGGCAGTCAGGTCTCCCAGCTGTTCTCAAGCTGTTTGCTTGTTCATTTTGGCTGGAAATGAAAATGTATTGAGGTACGGAGGGAGATGTGTAAAAAACCTATTAAACCAGGTGACTAAATCTCTCAAAAGACCAAGAACCAGTGAGCAGCAAAATCAGACAGGTGGTATGGCTACTTGAATACCTTCTCAAAGGATTTAAATTTGACACCCAGCAAAAGATTGTTGTACTATGAATTTGGTTGTGCTTATCCAGTATGCTTTCCATTTTGTTGTAGGATTGTACTTTGTGAAAAACAGTAGTAGCCAGTGTTACTGACCTCAGAGGTTTGCGGGATCAAATCAAGCATGCTGGGCTGGATGCTTTGATCTGAACTGTGAATGCAGTGTGGGCCCCTTACTGAATGAGGGAGGCAAACTAGTGACAGAGGATGTGGAAAAAGCTAATGTACTCAATGCTTTTTTTGCCTCTGTTTTCACTAACAAGGCCAGCTCCCAGACTGCTACGCTGGGCATCACAAAATGGGGAAGAGATGGCCAGCCCTCTGTGGAGATAGAGGTGGTTAGGGACTATTTAGAAAAGCTGGATGTGCACAAGTCCATGGGGCCGGACGAGTTGCATCCGAGAGTGCTGAAGGAACTGGCGGCTGTGATTGCAGAGCCATTGGCCATTATCTTTGAAAACTCGTGGCGAACCGGGGAAGTCCCGGATGACTGGAAAAAGGCTAATGTAGTGCCAATCTTTAAAAAAGGGAAGAAGGAGGATCCTGGGAACTACAGGCCAGTCAGCCTCACTTCAGTCCCTGGAAAAATCATGGAGCAGGTCCTCAAAGAATCAATCCTGAAGCACTTGCATGAGAGGAAAGTGATCAGGAACAGCCAGCATGGATTCACCAAGGGAAGGTCATGCCTGACTAATCTAATCGCCTTTTATGATGAGATTACTGGTTCTGTGGATGAAGGGAAAGCAGTGGATGTATTGTTTCTTGACTTTAGCAAAGCTTTTGACACGGTCTCCCACAGTATTCTTGTCAGCAAGTTAAGGAAGTATGGGCTGGATGAATGCACTACAAGGTGGGTAGAAAGCTGGCTAGATTGTCGGGCTCAACGGGTAGTGATCAATGGCTCCATATCTAGTTGGCAGCCGGTATCAAGTGGAGTGCCCCAAGGGTCGGTCCTGGGGCCGGTTTTGTTCAATATCTTCATAAATGATCTGGAGGATGGTGTGGATTGCACTCTCAGCAAATTTGCGGATGATACTAAACTGGGAGGAGTGGTAGATACGCTGGAGGGGAGGGATAGGATACAGAAAGACCTAGACAAATTGGAGGATTGGGCCAAAAGAAATCTGATGAGGTTCAATAAGGATAAGTGCAGGGTCCTGCACTTAGGACGGAAGAACCCAATGCACAGCTACAGACTAGGGACCGAATGGCTAGGCAGCAGTTCTGCGGAAAAGGACCTAGGGGTGACAGTGGACGAGAAGCTGGATATGAGTCAGCAGTGTGCCCTTGTTGCCTAGAAGGCCAATGGCATTTTGGGATGTATAAGTAGGGGCATAGCGAGCAGATCGAGGGACGTGATCGTTCCCCTCTATTCGACATTGGTGAGGCCTCATCTGGAGTACTGTGTCCAGTTTTGGGCCCCACACTTCAAGAAGGATGTGGATAAATTGGAGAGAGTCCAGCGAAGGGCAACAAAAATGATTAGGGGACTGGAACACATGAGTTATGAGGAGAGGCTGAGGGAGCTGGGATTGTTTAGCCTGCAGAAGAGAAGAATGAGGGGGGATTTGATAGCTGCTTTCAACTACCTGAAAGGGGGTTCCAAAGAGGATGGCTCTAGACTGTTCTCAATTGTAGCAGATGACAGAACGAGGAGCAATGGTCTCAAGTTGCAGTGGGGGAGGTTTAGATTGGATATTAGGAAAAACTTTTTCACTAAGAGGGTGGTGAAACACTGGAATGCGTTACCTAGGGAGGTGGTAGAATCTCCTTCCTTAGAAGTTTTTAAGGTCAGGCTTGACAAAGCCCTGGCTGGGATGATTTAACTGGGAATTGGTCCTGCTTTGAGCAGGGGGTTGGACTAGATGACCTTCTGGGGTCCCTTCCAACCCTGATATTCTATGATTCTATGATTCTGTGAATGCAAACTTCACTTTGCATTGTCATTGGCAGGGAGATAGATTATCTAGTCTAACAGGTTTTTCGCTTCTAAACTTCATCTGCTGCATATGGGATATTATTTTGCAAACCTGTACTGAATTATCTATGTAAAAAAACAAACATTACCACAACACCTGAAACAATCAGGAACTTTTGGCTAGGGCGGTCAGTTATCTGTGTAACAGTGTGATCTTATTTCTTTTACTCTTGTCTTCTTTCCCACCCCTTCTCTCTATTAATTTGTCTCAGACACTTGTTTTATATTGTAAGCCGAGTCTGGAAAAGTACAAATGTGCCAGTATTCAAAAAGGGGAAGCAGGATGACCTGAGGGACAGTCGAACAGTTAGTTTGACATCAGCCCTAGGCAAAATAATGGGCAAGCTGATATGGGATTCAGTTAATAAAGAATTAAGGGATAGGAATATAATTAATGCCAGTTATATGGTTTAATGGAAAACAGGTCTTGCTAAACAAACTTAATTTCATTCTTAGACAAGATTACAAGTTTGGTTGACAAAGGTATCTGTGTGGATGTAATATACTTAGAATTTTGTAAGAATTTGACTTTGGCGTGACATTCTGAAGAAAAAATTGGAACTATGCAATCTCAATATAACGTACATTAATTGGATTAAGAACTGGCAAACTGACCAGCCTTAAAAAGTGGTTGTCAGTGAGGAATCATCATTGAATGGGTTTCTAGAGGGTCCTACAGGGATCAGGACAAGACCTGATGCTATTCAACATTTTCATCGATGATCTCAAAGTAAATATAAAATCATTGCTGATGAAATTTGGGATAATGCACACATTGGTGGAATGGTAAATAATGAGGGGGACAGGGCAGTCATATAGATTGAGCGGGATCATTTGGTAAACTGGAACCACAAAAATGATTTGAGGGTGGAGAGAGTGCCTTACAGCAAAAGACTTAAATCAGGGGTCTCAAACTCAAATGACCACGAGGGCCACATGAGGACTGGTGAATTGGCCTGAGGGCCTCACCACTGACCACCTCCTCCCGCTGCCCCGGCCCCGCCCCCACTCCACCCCTTCTGTGAAGCTCCGCCCCTGCCCTGCCTCGTCCCACCCCTTCCCTACCCCCATTCCAACCCCTTCCCTGAAATCCCCACCCCAACTCCATCCCCTCCCTCCGGCCCCTGCCCTGGGTCCCCTCCCTTCCAGGGGGTGCAAGAAGGGTGCGATGGGGGGCTCAGGGCAGGGGGTTAGGGTGCAGGAGGGGTGTGGGGTGTGGCAGGGGGCTCAGAGAGTTGGGGGGCAGGGGGGCAGGGTGCAGGATGTGGCAGGTGGCTCAGGGCAGAGGGTTGGGGTGCAGGAGGGGTGCGGGGTGCACCAGGGGACCCAGGGCAAGGGGTGCGGGGTGTGACAGGGGGCTCAGGGAAGGGGTCGGGATGTGGGATGCAGCAGGGGGCTCAGGGCAGGAGGGGTGTGGGGTGCAGCAGGGGGCTCAGGGCAGGAGGTCGGGGTGCAGGAGGGGTGTGGGGTGCGGCAGGGGGCTCAGGGCAGGGGGTTGGGGTGCAGGAGGGGTTCAGGGGGCCGGTCTGGCCCAGCGCGCACCGGGGGCAGGGCAGGCTGGCTCCCTCCATGCCCTGCCCCCGCGCCGCTCCTGGAGGCCTGGGGATCTGTGAGGAGCAGCCAGGGCAACACATAGACCCCTGCGCCCCGCCTCCACTCCCCCAGTTCCTGGCCACTTCCTGGAGTGGCGTGGGGGCAGGGCTGGGCCGCGTGTTTGAGACCCCTGACTTAAATGGTGAGGAAGTTATATATCCAAAAGCTTTTCATAAGGTGTTTTGTCTGGTAATTCAGAAGACACGACAAGCCTGTAGACTGATATTAAATCACAAAGTATACATTCACTGCACTTGTTTAGCAAAAAAATTGTTTTCTATTTCAGAGGAAGAAGCTGATCCAAACAGCATTGTTACAGAATATCTACAGGAGAAGAAAAAGTATGAAGATCTGCGGAAGCAGCAACCAAAGAAAGGGATTTCTCGTGAAGATCAGGTAGTTGCTTAAAATAATAAAACTGACACTAAGGAAAATCTGTTTCACAGAAAACTCTGGAAAAGTTTCTTATCTCTTCAATTATATTACACAAAATCTCACTCCAAGAAAAAGGTTGGCTTAATTCTTTAAAAAAGAGGACTCAGTGATCCCTTATGTGGGTTATTCAGCCATAGGTGCTGGGAAAGTCTGTGAAGTTTCCAGTCAGTTCTTCAGTCAGAACATCAATATTGCTATGCTTGAAAATGCCATGAGTTTGCCCCAAAAAAAATTCGGGAGAGAAGGGCTATCCACATAGATAACGAGGAGTCTCTGGTGGCGCCTTAAAGACTAACCGATTTATTTGGGCATAAACTTTCATGGGTAAAAAACCCCACTTCTTCAGATGCATGGAGTGAAAATTACAGATATGCCATCCCTCCGCTGCTGCTACACATACTATCATGTCTACGCTGTTGTTTCTACTCACACTAGTGCAAATATATGTATGTGAGCAGGAGAATCACACCCCTAGCTCATAGTGTAAATGTCGCTTAGTGCATATGGTCACAGCCAGTGTCACTACTGTTGCAAAAAGTTTCCCTTATGTTCCCCTGCTCTCCATAACATTTACCTTTTGGCCTGATTTGTTACATGCTTGGTCTCTGTCCAAAATTGACTTTTTTATTAAGTTTTCAAGAGATTACAACCATGTTGTAGTTTTGAAATGGACAAAAATATATTTTCTCTAATGTAGAAAGAATATTTTTTCTTAGCTATAACAAAAAAGAGAGAACATTGCAAAATCAAACTTGGTTGGTGAATAAATGTGCTTTGCTAAGTTTAAAATAGATGTGGCTTTTAGATAACAAAATTTGGAATATTTTAAAACATGAAACTGTGAAGCAGAAAATAACATATATCCAAGATGCATACATTACACTTTACAAATGTATTTATTTGGATACAGAGGTTAGGGGTCTACTACAGACCACCTAACCTGGAAGAAGACGTGGATGAGGCTTATTCTTAAACAACTAACAAAATAATTTCAAAGCACAGGACTTGGTGGTGATGGAGGACTTCAACTACCCAGACATCTATTGAGAAAATAACACAGCAGGGCATAGATTGTCCAACAAATTATTGGAATGTATTGAATACAATTTTTTATTTCAGAAGGTGAAGAAAGCTACTAGGGGAGAGGCTGGTCTACATTTGATTTTGATAAATGGGAGGAACTGGTCGAGAATTTGAAAGTGGAAGGCAGCTTAGGTGAAAGTGATCATGAAATGGTAAAGTTCATGATTCTAAGGAATGGGAGGAGGGAAAAACAGCACAATAAACATAATGGATTTCAAGAAGGCAGACTTTAGCAAACTCAGGGAGTTGGTAGGTAAGATATCATGGAAGCAAGTCTAAGGGGAAAAACAGTTCAAGAGTTGGCATTTTTTCTAAGAGACGTTATTATGGGCACAAAAGAAAACTACCCCACTGTGTAGGAAAGAGAGGAAGTATAGCAAGAGACCACCCTGGCTTAACCAGGAGATCTTCAATTATCTGAAATTCAAAAAAGAATACTACAAAAAGTGGAAACTAGGTCAAATTACAAAGAATGAATATAAACAAATAACACAAGTATGTAGGAACAAAATTAGAAAGACCAAGGCACAAAACGAGATTAAACTAGCTAGACACATAAAGGGTAAGAAGAAAATATACATTAGAAGAAAGAGGAAAACCAAAGACAGGGTAGACCAATTACTCAGTGATGGGGGAAAAACAATAACAGAAAATGTGAAAATGGCAGAAGTGCTAAATGACTTTTTTGTTTTAGTTTTCACCAAAAAGGTTAGTAGCGATTGTATGTCTAACATAGTGAATGTCAGTGAAAATGAAGTAGGATCAGAGGCTAAAATAGGGAAAGAACAAGTTAATAATTATTTAGGTTAGATGTCTTCAGGTCATCAGGGTCTGATGAAATACATCCTAGAATACTCAAGGAGATGATTGAGGAGATATCTGAGCTATTAGTGATTATCTTCGAAAAGTCATGGAAGACGGAAGAGATTCCAGAACACTGGAAGAGGGAAAATATGCCAATCTGTAAAAAGGGAAATAAGGACAACCTGGGGAATTACAGACCGGTCAGCTTAACTTCAACACCCAGAATGATAATGGAGCAAATAATTAAGCAATGAATTGGCAAACACCTACAAGATGATAAGTTACCAAGTAACAGCATGGATTTCTCAAGAACAAATCATGTCAAACCAACCTGATAGCTTTCTTTGTCAGGATAACAAGCCTTGTGGATGGGGGGGGAAGCAGTAGATGTGGTATATCTTGACTTTGATACTGTCTAGCCTGACCTTCTCATAAATAAACAGGATGGTGCTACTATAAGGTGGGTGCATAACTGGTTGGAAAACCATTCCCAGAGTGGAAGGGCATATCACACACACCTTTCCCTTCTACTGGGTCTCAATACTGCTGTTGAGATGCCATTGCCCTCATCAGAGGGTTAACAGGTGAGGGAAAGGGGATTGTTTCCTCGCTGTACCAAACGTGAGGCACCCCGGTCTCCTTTCCCATCTTCTTTGAGGTGTCTCATAGAATCATAGAAGATTAGGGTTGGAAGAGACCTCAGGAGGTCATCTAGTCCAGTAGTCTCCCAAGTGGGGTGTGCACTGCAGGAGGAGCGCTGCCGAAGGAGTGCCACCGGCACGGCAGCAGCAGCACTCCTGGACCTTAGATTCTTCGGCGGCATGCCAGCAGCAGCTCGGCTCTCCCTGCTCCGTCTTTGGCAGCTCTTCTTCTTCTTCTTTATTTTTTTTTTTTTGCTTCCCCAGAGCTGGCCCTGGGGGTGCGCAATTCAAAAAGTTTGGAGACCACTGATCTAGTCCAACCCCCTGCTCAAAGCAGGACCAACACCAACTAATCTTCTCCTAATCCACTTCTAATTCCAGTTTATGAGGGAGCCAGAGCCCCTGTTGAACCTGTACTGGATATCTGCTAATGCAACAAAATGAATTTTACAACCCTTAAAGTGGCCAAGGGTTTTCCCCTGCTCGCACAGTGGGAGGAGGGAAGCAACTTGTTTTCATCCCTCAAGAAAACTGTGGAGCTATTATGCTCTGCAAAATCATTAGTTCTGAAATTTTTCTTCTCTCTTTCCCCTCCCCCTTTTCTTAAACAGAAAATATGGACATTAAATGCAACCACCCTTCCCAAACAAAAAACCTATTGTTAATGCTACACTAAAGTAGTGAAAGAACTCATAAGCCAGGAAGTTCCCAAAGATAAGGTTGCTTGCACAAGGAAACTTGACTACATTGCACATTTGTGATATTTTCTGTTTCTGATTCCCATTTTTTAACTTTTGGGGAGAGACTTCAAAAAGTTTTCTTTTTTACTTTTAGAACTAGATTTAAAAAATAAAAGCAGTCATACAGAGGTGTTTTACAGAATAAAATAACAGCTGTAAGTGACTGTGATTATGATATACTGTATCAGTACAGTTACAGCAGTGATACTCAGGCTGAGGCTCGCAAGCTGCAGGTGGCTCTTTAATCTGTCTCCTGTGGCTCTTTGCAGCACATGCTGTTAAAACACTGTGTGATTTAGTTATTAACCTAGCTAAGTTATTAACCAATTGTAGTTGTTAAAATAATAATACTTGGTCAGTTATTTTGCTGTGAGAATTTTTTGTGAGATATATGTGTATATATATACATACACACACACACAAAATATTTCCGCTCACATACTGTTACAGTTTTTTGAAAATGTTAGTACAGAATTGGAAAAGTTGTATCTGCACTGTAAAATACAGTATGTCAATGTCAACGAAGTTAGGACATCAAAGCCTGAATTATTTTTAATTTATTTCATTGATTTCTTCACTAGAGAAAAATGACAAATCTCCACAGTAAAATTGTCTTCAGTAGTCTGTGTTGTTTATCTTACTCTTAGAAAGTAACTGCTCCTTTAAGTAAATATGCTTAAGACATTGTAGATGACTGACGAAATTTCATAACCTATAATAAATTCCTTACATTACTTCTAGGTATTAATATTTATAACTCTTACTAATATACTAATAGCAATATATAGTTTGTTTATATCCACTTTCATAAATTATCTGGAGGTTGTTCTTTGCAGGAGGATTATTAATTTATTATCTATTGTTTGTTAAAATTATAGGAAATGACCTTGAGTGACCACATTAAAAGCCAATGGTTTCATTCAGTTGGTTACACCGCACCTTGCATCCCAACACTTGCATCATGTGGTCAGGTCAAAAAGGCAACATGGTAATCACTGATGGGGACGGGGAATTTGTGAACTGTGTGGGAGTATCTTCCTCAAATATGTTTTTTGAACAATTTCTTATCCACGTCAACTGACTACTCCTCAAGTAATCCAAACATAAGTGTATTGTGTATTTTATTGTTACAAAACTTCAGTAAAACAAAAGATATTTCATTTCAGACGCTGGCGCTGCTGGACCGATTCAAATCAAAGCTAACTCAGGCAATAGCAGACACTCCTGAAAATGAAATGTCTGAACCTGAAGTAGAGGATGATGAAGGATGGTAAGGATTTTTAATGCATTATATTAGGGAAGGGAAAATCTGATTAGCGAAAAATAAGGCCTACTCCAAATTTTCACCCATCTCTGAACCAGAACCTTTTTTCAATTTAGTAAGTCTTTCCCGCCCACCCCCCCCCCCCCCATCTCACTTACCTGTAGTGGTAGGTTCTCTTCTGGAGAAGGTCAGACAGTCTGTTTCCCTATTCCTACTTCAGGGCCTCTTCAGGAGGCAGAAAGGCAGTTCGTTTTCTTTGCCAGTCACCCTCTCCCCAAAGTAAGTAGCAGGAACCAGTAGCATCTCAACTGAGATTCTGTTTCCTTCAAATTAAGTGCATGTCTATACAGTTATTTAATGCACAGCAAGCCGGTGTGGAAGTCTACAGCACACTAGCCTGCCATGTTCTAAATGGCTATGTGGATCCTGCTGCTGTACACTGAAAGTTCCCTAGTATGCTTTGATCTACTGCTGTTTTGAAAAAACTAGGGAACTTTAGTGCAAGGAACACATGGCCACTTAGTGTGGAGCAGGCTAGAGCATTGTAGATTCACTCCCTGGCTTGTCATGCACTAAATCACTGCATTGACAAGCCCTTAGTGATATTCTGTACTTTAATCCCATGCAAGTTTACATTACCTGCATCTGAAATTTACATTACATTACCTGCATCTGAAAGCTACATCCATAGCTAATGTAATCGTACTCACTCTGAAACATACTTTTCAGAAGCTACAGAGCCACCAACTTTGCAGTGAGCTAGTATAGCAGGATTCAGCTAAGTGAGATCAATATCTTACTCACTTGTTGCTGCTTTGGAAAGAAGGGAAGAGCAGGTTTCAGAGGAACAGCCGTGTTAGTCTGTATTCGCAAAAAGAAAAGGAGTACTTGTGGCACCTTAGAGACTAACCAATTTATTTGAGCATGAGCTTTCGTGAGCTACAGCTCACTTCATCAGATGTTTACCGTGGAAACTGCAGCAGACTTTATATACACACAGAGAATATGAAACAATACCTCCTCCCACCCCACTGTCCTGCTGGTAATAGCTTATCTAAAGTGATCAGCAGGTGGGCCATTTCCAGCACAAATCCAGGTTTTCTCACCCTCCACCCCCCCACACAAATTCACTCTCCTGCTGGTGCTAGCCCATCCAAAGTGACAACTCTTTACATAGTCAAGTCGGGCTATTTCCTGCATAGATCCAGGTTTTCTCACATCCCCCCCACCCCCATACACACACAAACTCACTCTCCTGCTGGTAATAGCTCATCTAAACTGACCACTCTCCAAGTTTAAATCCAAGTTAAACCAGAACATATGGGGGGGGGGGGGGGGGGTTAGAGAAAAAACAAGAGGAAACAGGCTACCTTGCATAATGACTTAGCCACTCCCAGTCTCTATTTAAGCCTAAATTAATAGTATCCAATTTGCAAATGAATTCCAATTCAGCAGTTTCTCGCTGGAGTCTGGATTTGAAGTTTTTTTGTTTTAAGATAGCGACCTTCATGTCTGTGATTGCGTGACCAGAGAGATTGAAGTGTTCTCCGACTGGTTTATGAATGTTAGAATTCTTGACATCTGATTTGTGTCCATTTATTCTTTTACGTAGAGACTGTCCAGTTTGACCAATGTACATGGCAGAGGGGCATTGCTGGCACATGATGGCATATATCACATTGGTGGATGTGCAGGTGAACGAGCCTCTGATAGTGTGGCTGATGTTATTAGGCCCTGTGATGGTGTCCCCTGAATAGATATGTGGGCACAATTGGCAACGGGCTTTGTTGCAAGGATAAGTTCCTGGGTTAGTGGTTCTGTTGTGTGGTATGTGGTTGTTGGTGAGTATTTGCTTCAGGTTGCGGGGCTGTCTGTAGGCAAGGACTGGCCTGTCTCCCAAGACTTGTGAGAGTGTTGGGTCATCCTTTAGGATAGGTTGTAGATCCTTAATAATGCGTTGGAGGGGTTTTAGTTGGGGGCTGAAGGTGACCGCTAGTGGCGTTCTGTTATTTTCTTTGTTAGGCCTGTCCTGTAGTAGGTAACTTCTGGGAACTCTTCTGGCTCTATCAATCTGTTTCTTTACTTCTGCAGGTGGGTATTGTAGTTGTAAGAAAGCTTGACAGAGATCTTGTAGGTGTTTGTCTCTGTCTGAGGGGTTGGAGCAAATGCGGTTGTATCGCAGAGCTTGGCTGTAGACGATGGATCGTGTGGTGTGGTCAGGGTGAAAGCTGGAGGCATGCAGGTAGGAATAGCGGTCAGTAGGTTTCCGGTATAGGGTGGTGTTTATGTGGCCATTGTTTATTAGCACTGTAGTGTCCAGGAAGTGGATCTCTTGTGTGGACTGGACCAGGCTGAGGTTGGTGGTGGGATGGAAATTGTTGAAATCCTGGTGGAATTCCTCAAGGGCTTCTTTTCCATGGGTCCAGATGATGAAGATGTCATCAATATAGCGCAAGTAGAGGCTTTAGGGGACGAGAGCTGAGGAAGCGTTGTTCTAAATCAGCCATAAAAATGTTGGCATACTGTGGGGCCATGCGGGTACCCATAGCAGTGCCGCTGATCTGAAGGTATACATTGTCCCCAAATGTGAAATAGTTATGGGTAAGGACAAAGTCACAAAGTTCAGCCACCAGGTTAGCCGTGACATTATCGGGGATAGTGTTCTTGACGGCTTGTAGTCCATCTTTGTGTGGAATGTTGGTGTAGAGGGCTTCTACGTCCATAGTGGCCAGGATGGTGTTATCAGGAAGATCACCGATGGATTGAAGTTTCCTCAGGAAGTCAGTGGTGTCTCGAAGGTAGCTGGGAGTGCTGGTAGCGTAGGGCCTGAGGAGGGAGTCTACATAGCCAGACAATCCTGCTGTCAGGGTGCCAATGCCTGAGATGATGGGGCGCCCAGGATTTCCAGGTTTATGGATCTTGGGTAGTAGATAGAATATCCCAGGTCGGGGTTCCAGGGGTGTGTCTGTGCGGATTTGATCTTGTGCTTTTTCAGGAAGTTTCTTGAGCAAATGCTGTAGTTGCTTTTGGTAACTCTCAGTGGGATCATAGGGTAATGGCTTGTAGAAACTCGTGTTGGAGAGCTGCCGAGCAGCCTCTTGTTCATATTCCGACCTATTCATGATGACAACAGCACCTCCTTTGTCAGCCTTTTTGATTATGATGTCAGAGTTGTTTCTGAGGCTGTGGATGGCATTGCGTTCCGCATGGCTGAGGTTATGGGGCAAGTGATGCTGCTTTTCCACAATTTCAGCCCGTGCATGTCGGCGGAAGCACTCTATGTAGAAGTCCAGTCTGCTGTTTCGACCTTCAGGAGGAGTCCATCTAGAATCCCTCTTTCTGTAGTGTTGGCAGGGAGACCTCTGTGGATTAGTATGTTGTTCAGAGGTATTTTGGAAATATTCCTTGAGATGGAGACGTCGAAAATAGGATTCTAGGTCACCACAGAACTGTATCATGTTCGTGGGGGTGGAGGGGCAGAAAGAGAGGCCCCGAGATAGAACAGCTGCTTCTGCTGGGCTGAGAGTATAGTTGGATAGGTTAACAATATTGCTAGGTGGGGTGAGGGAACCATTGCTGTGGCCCCTTGTAGCATGTAGTAGTTTAGAAAGTTTAGTGTCTTTTTTCTTTTGTAGAGAAGCAAAGTGTGTGTTGTAAATGGCTTGTCTAGTTTTAGTAAAATCCAGCCACGAGGAAGTTTGTGTGGAAGGTTGGTTCTTTATGAGAGTATCCATTTTTGAGAGCTCATTCTTAATCTTTCCCTGTTTGCTGTAGAGGATCTTGATCAGGTGATTCCGCAGTTTCTTTGAGAGCGTGAGGCACAGACAATGCCCCTTTGAAGAGGCTGGTGTGTAGCATCAGAATTTAGGGGAACCATGACCTACTGGTAGGGATGAGGTGTGACACAAGGAAGAAGAGAGCCAGGACCTGTCAGATTATGGGTAGTAAGAATAACCTTCTAACTTTTAGATATTCATGTGAAACTTCTGCTCATCACTCCTTTATATACTATGTCTATATGAGTAAAGTATTTATGCTTATGCCAATCTGTGTAATAGCATATTTATTATTTATCTTGACCATGTATTAGCAAGATATATAAATATATTAACAGAAGGAGCCACACTGGCATGCCCCATTCCTACTGCATTTTCCATTCCTGTCACTGGGAGTTGATTTTTGCTTTACTGTTGACTTTGGGAAGTCCTGACTTCCAGAACCATATACTCACTTCACAAGGGGCATTTCTTCTACAGAAATATATGAGCCAGTATCATTTTACTGTTATGATTATTTCCATGCTTTTTGACATAATGGTACTTTTGAAATATCTAAGTTTGTTAGTTTAATAAGCCAGGAAGCACATCCTCAGCGAGTGTATACCTCAGGGGTGGCCAAACGGTGGCCCATGAGCCACAGCCGGCTATTTTACCATTAAAGTGCGGCTCACAGAGCCCCCCCATGCTCCCATCCATTCTCCATCTTCCAGACCAGGGGACTGCGAGGAAGCTTGGGACCTCTGCCTTGCAGCGGGGTGGTGGGGTAGGGGCTTCTGCCCAGTAGGGATGGGGGTCTCGGGGCTTCATCCCATCAGGCACCTCCCTCGGGGCTGAAGCCCCAAGCCCCGGCCCCTGGCATGTGTGCCTTGACTCTCGAACTTCGAAGATTATCGTATGCACTCAGAGGGCCAATAAGTTTGGCCACCCCGGTATAGCTCCACAGACTTAAAAGTAGCAATGACAATTTACACCAGTTTTGTTTAAATATACGTCACAGTTCAGAGCAACTACATCTGTATTTCCTCTCCATGGTCCCTCAAGGGCTCCCAGTCTAGGCTCCCGGCTCCTCAGCTGTCACCTCTCTTGGGCAGAGACCTGCATCTCTATCCCTCCTGATTGGGGTTTTTCCAGTCTGCACAATTCCTTGCCTTCACTGTAATATCCCCAGCAAGCCAGACCACCAAAAGGCCAGTGTTTGTGCTTTGCTTTCTTTCTAGAGGTAATGAA